TTCTATTCCTACCCCCATTCTGCAGATGAGGAAAGCAAGGCTTAACAAGACTGAGGAGTTTGACCAAGGTTGCGGCTAATAAGTAGCAGAGACAGGATTTGAACTCAGGTCCTTCTGGCTGCAAAAACTGGGCCCTTTATGCCACACCAGTGATTTCCAATGTGGGTGCTTATGGCCCATGAGCTGTGTGGGAAGTAACATTAGAATGTCTATTTATTTATTTTTTAAATATTTATTTATTTCTTTGAGAGAGAGAGTGTGTGTGTGCGCACATGAGGGGAGGAGCAGAAGAAGAAAGAGAGAGGGAACCCCAAGCAGACTCCTTGCTGGTGAGGGGCCCAAAGCAGGACTTGATCTCTCAACCCTGAGGTCATCACCTGAGCTGAAATCAAGAGTCGGACTGGAGGTAGGAAACCTGAGCTGGTCTGGTGGCTCTCTGGTCATCCCAGACACAGGCTTCTTCTGTATTTCTGCTCTACTATCCTAGAACATGGCTTTTTCCTCCAAGTCACCTCACCGTTGAACTCCAGGCAGTGAGGAAAGGTAAAAAGGATACATGCCCCTAACCCATTCATCCCCTTCTAAGGAGTTTTCCTGAAGTTTCTGCTTACAGATCACTGGCCGCATTTTCCTTTTGCCTGGGCACAGTGATGCTAAAATTGAGGTTCTGTCGCTGAGCAAGGAAGGGGAATGGGTTTGGGGTGGTAACTAGCAGCCTCTGCCCCAGTCTCCAAAGGCAAGAGGGCATCTTGGGTCAGAGAACGCAAGACAGGACCAGAAATCAAAAGACAGGTTCTGACCTTGATTGAGTCCCTGCCACTGAGTAAGTCCAAGAGCCTCTGAGGGCCTCAGCCCCGAACAGAGGGTGGGGGGGGAGGGTCAGGTGACGTGACACTGTGAACGGGCTTCGGAGACCATAAAACACTATTCCCATGGAAGGAGTGATGTTTCTGCTACTGCCTCCATTAAACCCAAGAATGGCCAGCTATTTGCTGCAGGGAGGAAGGTGGAGGGGCCTGGAGGGAGAGGGAGGACAGCATGGCTGGGACAAACAGAAAGGGAATAGAGATGCTGCGGGGACTCAGGTGCACTTGGGGAACATGCTGCAAGCAGGACTCGGTTCCCCCAGGGCCTTGTGCCCCAGGACGTGTAAAGCCCGGAGTCTGGCAAAGGCCCCAGGCTGCCTTCTTCAGCCCTCAGGGCCTCAGACAAGGAGGCAAACAAACAGGACACCTGGGGGAGGCCCAAACACCCAGGAGAGAAGGGAAGGCCTCCGGGGGCAGAAACCAAGGTCTGGGTCCCCACAGGGCCAAAATAACTTGCTGATTGAGTCAATAAGGCCAACACATTGGTCAAGCCAGTGGGGGGGAAACCGAAACCCCAGCCAGATCTATTATTTAGCAGTTTGTCACCAAGCAAAAATATAAGTCCTAACCCCAACTGCAGGGTTGTTTGGTGTCAGGAGTCACCTTGGGTCAGCCCGAGCCAAGTCAAATGTTTTAGATCAGCTCTCCCCACGGTGCCCAATAGGGCAGCTGGAGGTGGGCTCCTGATGCTGGGGAAAGGGGCGACCTCTTCTCTAGGCCCCCAGGCCCTACGGCCTTGCAAACAGCTCCTTCCCTAACGGGGGTGGTGGGATACTAGGGGTGCACTTGAAGAACGCTGATGCCATGGTCCGCACGCAAATATTTGCTGAAGGCCTACCGTGCATGCGTGAGCCCGGGGTAGGGTGGCTTTTGCTCCAGAAGCTGTGAGCTTGCTGCTTGGGGCCTCTTCTTGGTGCTGGGGTGCAGCCCATTCCCCTCCAGGTCCCTGGCAGTGCTAGCTATGGAAAGTCGGCCGTTCAGAGTTCAAAAACTAATTGGGAACAGCCCGTGGAGGCCAGGGGACGAGGCAGGGGGGCGCGGGATAAATCACAAGCAGCGTAGAGAATTATAAATCTAGTTGCATAGTCCCTCTGGTTTGGCACAGATGAAGTGTGTAAATCAAGCTTCCGTAGTTCTGCTCTCTAGCTCACCATTCCCTCCACTCAAGACGTGAACCAGAACTCGAAAAAAGAAGTGTTGTCGAAGTAAACATCAATACAGAAAAGAACATGCATGGTAAGTATAAAGCAGCTTGGCGAAACTTCCCCAAGTGAACACACCCAGATAACAGCATCTTTGAGATCAGGAAGCAGCAAATTGTCGGCCCCCTCAAGCCCCTTTCTAATAATCCCTCCCCAAGGAGTAACCCTATCCTGACCCCCTGCACCATACATCGTTTTGCCTGTTTTTGAACTTCATAGAAATGGAATCCTCCAGGACGTTCTCATTTGCGTCTGGCCTGTTTCACTCACCATCGCAGCGGTGAGATACGCTGTGTGTGCTTGTCACTTATTCTCACAGCTGTATAGCATCTCGTTGTGGGAACAGACAACACTCTGTCCACTCCACTGTGGATGGACTTTGGGGCTGTTTCCAGTTGGGAGCTATCACAAAAGCGCGGCTACTAAAAACAGGGCTTTCTGGGGCTCCTGGGTGGCTCAGTCGTTAAACCTCTGCCTTCGGCTCAGGTCATGGTCCCATGGTCCTGGGATCGAGCCCCGCATCGGGCTCCCTGCTCCGCGGGAAGCCAGCTTCTCCCTCTCCCACTCCCCCTGCTTGTGTTCCCTCTCTCACTGTGTCTCTCTCTGTCAAATAAATAAAATCTTAAAAAAAAACGGCTTTCTTTTCACAATCGGGTCCCATGGCCTTCCTTTTTTTTTTAATGTTTTATTGTAGGAAAATATGTATAATATAAAATTTGTCATCTTAACCATTTTTAAGTGTATAATTCAGTGGCATTAATTCCAGTCACAGGGTTGTGCAAGCATCACCACTATCTATTTCCAAAATGTTTTCATCATCCCAAACAGAAAATCTGTATCCGTTAAGCAGTAAACCCTTCATTTCCCCTCCCCTCAGGCCCTGGTCACCTCTATTCTAGTTTCTGAGTCTATGAATTTGCCTTTTTCTTGGCAACACACAGAAGTGGAACCACATAACATTGGTCCCTTTGTGACTGGCTCCTTTCACGGAGCATCATGTTTTCAAGATTCATCCATGCTGTAGCATGGATCTGAACTTCCCTCCTTCTGAATGGCCAAACCAGAGTCCATTGTGTGGGTACAGCACATTTTGTCTATCCATTCATCTACCCATGGACACATGGGTGGTTTCCACCTTTAGGATGTTGCGAATAATGCTGCAGTGAACATTGGCATGCCTCTTCCAGAGGACCTGGCGAGCAGGGAACTGAGATGGGCCCTCACACAGCCAGTACTAAACTGTCAGGGGAATGCAGTGAGATGCTTATCCCCAGGCTACAGGTAATCAAACGGAGGTTTGGAGAAGTCAGGGATCTTTCCCAGGGTCAAGGGGCTGATGGAAGTGTCTGAGACCATCACTCAAATCCTGAAATCAGAACTCTGACCCCAAGCCCAAGGTTTTTATACACACAACACACACACCTACGCACACATTTCTGTCTTGCAACTCTTCTGGTCACAGAAGAAGTTAGATTTGGTTTGCAGCCCAGTTCTTGCTTTAGTTCCAGGTAGAAAATCTTCCCCTGGAGCTGCTAAACCCCTACTTGGGCTTTCTTTTTTTTCTTGCTTTGTTTTTCTTTTCTTTTTCTTTTTCTTTTTTTTTTTTTCCTCCCTCTTTCCTGGCAAACAGCCCAGGGCAAGAGACCAAGAGAAGCTTCTTGGCCACCTCCACTTAACCCTTAAACTTTGTGCTGTTGTTTTGTTTTTGGGGTTTTTTTTTTTTAAGCTACAAGTTTTGTCACACCTCTGCCCTCCTGCCGCCAGGCCCCCTGAGTGGCCCAAGGCTCCAGCTACATTTCTAAGTTCTTCTCTTGGCACAAACAACAGATATCTAAGACCTAATTAGATTTTTATTCAAGGGACGTGGAGAGAACCACTTGACTCAAAGTGTCCTCTTTCTCTGCCCTGCCAGAGTCAATTTCGGTAAAAGACACCTACTGTATGTTGGGGCTGCCTGTGGTTTTGTTCTGGGAAGTGATACAGTCCCTGTCCCCAGGGGTGGCCCTGTCTGGCTGGAGGGGAGGGAGAGGGGGGCAGGCCACAGATGGAGAGGAACGATGGAGCCGCAGAGCCGGTGAAGTGGGATTCTGATGGTACAGGAATGCTGCTCAGGGATCTGGAGAGACGATGGGGACACCAGAGGGGACATCCCCAGACATCTCCTACCAAAGGCTCTAGTCATTCACCATGCAAAGGTCGCTTGAACGAGCTAGGCCGCAGGGACAGGGAGCCCCAGACGCGGACAACCCCCAGGGGCCTGCCCAAGCCACGCTCGGGCTCTAAAATAAGGCCCGCCTGCGCACAAACCCGGTGGCCCGCGGGGCGCGGGTTCCCAGCCCCCTCCGCATGCAGGTAATACTCGCCTCCGCGCTGAACAGGGGCTTCGGGCCTCCGGCCGAGCTGCAGCAAAATCCCGCGAAGCGGCGGGCCGGGGAGGGGGGCATCCGCGACGCGGCCCTGGGTGGGGGTGGGGCCGGCCAGGGCGCCCCTCCCTCCACCCCCACCCCCAGGCCGCTCTGGCCCTGCTGTCCCCGCGCCGCGCCGGCCTCTCTCTCCCCGCCCCACCCGGGCCGACAATGCGCCTTTCAGGAGCCTCCGCCCCCCATGGAAAATCCCCGCGCGGTCTCCGGGGCGGCGGGCGTCTGCTGCCCTCGAGGCGAGGGATTCCGCGCCCCCGACGAGGTGCAGGGGCAACGCGCC